CATTAGACTTCTGAACCGAGTGTTTCAAGTATAAAAACGTTCTGCTATGCGGTCCGCAACTTATCCTGGTATTATTTTAGGCGTAAAAACTAATAAAAAGATTCAGCAGCGCAAAAACTATATTCGAATGTGTCGGTAAAACAGACGACTTTAGCATCCTCTTAAGCTGATTTACAGACAATTTGTAATTTGTATCAGAAATCCGTTTCTAGTTTTACGTGCCACGCGACACTAAAAGAAATACAAAGAAATCACGTGAGGTACAAATTGAAATTATATAGAATGTATAATTTTTTTTATAATGAATTGATATACACAAAAGATATATTTTTTAATAAATTAAATTACTAAATACATTACTTGACATTTATATTCTAAACAATTTATATATAAAATATAAATTAAAAATGTACATACGCGCATTTAAACGCGCAGCACGTAAAATTATAAGAATGAAACAATATTAAAATTATAAGATAGAACTTTGATTCGAAGTCTGATGCAAGTTACAGACTGTCCAAGGTGGGCTCCGCGCAAGCCGAGATAAACTGCAACGATAGCTAATTCAATTGTTCCATTTTTTTATCAATCAGGTGGGAATATTGCGGCGCGAACACCGCAGTCAACTCGCACGAGATGCATGTGGAACTGAAAAACGAACGCTGCACGCCCTAACGCACGTCTCTGCCGCGACAGTTTTGTATTGTATCATTAAAATAAACGTCATCTGTAAGCGGCCGAGAGAAATTCAAATTCCTACCCAGTGAGAAATGATTCGTCGATCGACGTCGATCGACGAATCATTTCTCACTGGGTTCTTTCCAGCGCGCTCGCGCGACAGTTAATTCCAACCAATTTCGGCTCCTCCGAGCCGCGAACTTGTATCGGCGGCCGAGGGTCAGATCGCAGCCTCGTCCCGTTAAATCGCGCAAATAATTCACGGCGAGCATTAACGAGCATGCAAATGCGATAAATCACTTCACTCACCGATCTCTGCCGCTGATGTCGCCGCCGATGTCGCCGCTCCGCAGTCTTCGCCTCGCCGCGTCGTTCCGGATATTCGCTCGTTGAAACTGCACCAAATTAATTAGAAAAGCACAATCAGTCGCCACGACAAGACGGTCACTCAACACTGCTCTGCACGGCACTCCCGATCGCGCGACTCGTTACGGACGGAGAAAAGTAACGCGGAAACGAACGACGATTGCCCGCGCGACGCGGCGCAAGAAGAAGGAACGTTCACTCACACGCAAGCAGAAGCCGTGTGTCCGTGCGCGCTCACCGCCGCGTCGAGCGTGCACGTACGCGCGTCTCTTCCCCGTGTGTGCGCGTCCTACACCGCTCGGTTCCGTGTCGGGCCGCGTCGCCATCTTGGCCTCGCTGCGCGTGGCGCTCAACCGACGTGCGCAGAGCAGTGAGCGTTCAAACGTACGCGCGGGCAACTTCGCGTCGGTGCCCGAGATGATTCGGCATCCAGTGCATGCGGTACATACATACTGTGTGCTGTGCACTATTATTTTTTATTAGCTTACAAACTTAGGCCGGTATTCATACCCAGTGAGAAATGATTCGTCGATCGACGTCGAAATGATGTCGAGTCGACGTCGATCGACGAATCATTTCTCACTGGGCGCTCCGCAGTCTTCGCCTCGCCGCGTCGTTCCGGATATTTGCTCGTCGAAACTGCGCCAAGTTAATTAGAAAAGCAGAACGTTCACTCACACGCAAGCAGAGGCCGTGTGTCCGTGCGCGCTCACCGCCGCGTCGAGCGTGCACGTACGCGCGTCTCTTCCCCGTGTGTGCGCGTCCTACACCGCTCGGCTCCGTTTCGGGCCGCGTCGCCATCTTGGCCTCGCTGCGCGTGGCGCTCAACCGACGTGCGCAGAGCAGTGAGCGTTCAAACGTACGCGCGGGCAACTTCGCGTCGGTGCCCTCGAGGTGCAGGTTCGGCATCCAGTGCATGTGGTACGTATGTACATACGTGTGTTGCGCGCTATTATTTTTTATTAGACTTACAAACTTAGGCCGGTATTCATAGTCCGTTCTTATATTTAAGATTATCTTAAGTATATGAAATACACTCACCCGCAAAAAAAATGGGCCACCACATTTTAGCCCAATTTTTCAACATTTTTCAATAGCGATAACTCGGCGAAAAATCATCGTAGACGTAGACAAATGATTAAAAAAGCATTTTGAAGCTTGAAGTTTCAACTTTAAAATGCTGTCAACAATTCTTTAAAATTCGTTTATCTTCCTTAGAATTACGTATTTTTGACGCTCTGTGGCTGGATAAAAAAATTTGTCTCGAAAATACCATCTCAAATTTCATAAACTACAACTCTTTGCCTACAAAACGCTTTTTTAAAAATTGTCCTACGATGTTTTCTGACCGAGATATACGATTTTGAAGCTAAACCTGTACTTTTTAGAAATGTCGATACTCAGCAAAAACTCATCGTAGACAAATGATTAAAAAAGCGTTTTGTAGCCAAGAAGTTGTAGTTTATGGAATTTGAGATGATATTGTCGAGAGAAATGTTTTTACCCAACTACAGAGCATCAAAAATACGTAATTTTAAGGAAAAAACAATGTGTTCTTTTTTTATAGCAGCGAACAAGGAAAATAAAGGAATTTTAAAAGGACATCTAGAGCACGTTAAAGTTGAAACGTCAAGCTTCAAAATGCTTTTTTAATCATTTGTCTACGATGAGTTTTCGCCGAGTATCTACAACATTTCTAAAAAGTACAGGTTTAGCTTCAAAATCGTATATCTCGGTCAAAAAACATCGTAGGACAATTTTTAAAAAAGCGTTTTGTAGGCAAAGAGTTGTAGTTTATGAAATTTGAGATGATATTGTCGAGACAAATTTTTTTATCCAGCCACAGAGCGTCAAAAATACGTAATTCTAAGAAAAAACACAATGTGTTCTTTTTTAAAGCATAGAACAAAGAAGATAAACGAATTTTAAAGAATTGTTGACAGCATTTCAAAGTTGAAACTTCAAGCTTCGAAATGCTTTTTTAATCATTTTTCTACGATGATTTTTCGCCGAGTTATCGCTATTGAAAAATATTTAAAAATTGGGCTAAAATGTGGGGGCCCATTTTTTTTGCGGGTGAGTGTATATACATAATGCGATACGAATTAGATTTAAATTTCGAAATGGCGGCGGAATTCCTCGCGCCTGCGCGATGACTCCCCCCTCCCACCCGAGGAAAGTTTCGACTTTCGCGCCGCGCTCTTCGATTGACTTCCTAACCTGTCCTAACCTCGAAACGACGACGACGGCGGCGGCGGTGATGAGCGAGAAAGGTACGTTACTCTCGGGGATAAATAAGATGGTGAAGAGTGACGGGAGGGTTGTATGCTTGTTGCGATAGACGTGGCTCGAAGGCGTCCCACGACAATGAGCCACATCGTGATCGTGCGCGCCTTCAAGCCGGGCGACGAGGTCGGCTGCACGGAGCTCATCAGAGACTGCGTCATGTCTTCCCTGGGCACGACGTTCCGCGGGATGCTGTTCAAGGAGATCACGTTCCAGCTGTTAATCATGCTGTCGGCGATCATGTTTATTTTCTTCGGCCTGCCGCTCACCGTCTGCCTCTCGGTCGTGCCCGTGGTCGTCGCGCTCACGTACGCCGGCACATACGTCAGTTTCGCCGCGAAGATGACGGAGATCAACGGCGAGGTGACGAATATCCCGAGGTATTGTATGCGCGGACACGCCGGTCTAACGACCAGCGATCATCTTTAGGGTCTGCAGCGCGTGGAGTAAACGGTGAGAGACAATTGTAACCTTTTGGCGCAAGGAAACCAAGGACCTGAACGGAATGGCTGTCTTGTACTCTTAAGACGTAAGACAGTTAGGCTGATGGCAAAGAACAATCCGTAAACGCTTAAGACTGTCTCAGTCGTAGACGTAGGGCAAGGCAGAGAGAAACGTAAGTCGTGAAAGGCTATTGTATACGACTTACGTTTCTCTCTGCCTTGCCCTACGTCTACGACTGAGGCAGTCTTAAGCGTTTACGGATTGTTCTCTGCCATCAGCCTTAGGGTCTGCAGCGCGTGGAGTAAGCAGTAAGAGACAATCGTAACCTTTTGGCGTAAGGAAACCAAGGGCCTAAGCAGAATGGCTGTCTTGTACTCTTAAGACATAAGACAGTTACTGCGCGTTACCTCAAGACAAAGGCTTAAAACGTAAAATATTGTCTTGAGGCTGTCTTAAGAGTATAAGCCATTCTGCTCGAGCCCTTGTTGTGCGTTACTTTAAGACGAAGCTGTAGAACATAAAACATTGTCTTCAGAGTACAAGACGGCCATTCTGCTCAGGTCCTTGCGATGACAAAGATGTAAAACATAAAACATTGTCTTCAGAGTACAAGACGGCCATTCTGCTCAGGTCCTTACGATGACTTTGTTTCTTTTAGTTGGACAGTCTTTGTACTCACTTAAGACCTGTGTCCACAATGCCAGAACTTGATCCAAGTTCTAGTTCCACAAAATGTGCAGCCAGTCAACTTGCAGCTATTCCATAAAAGTTGCAAGTTGATTGGCTATACATTTCTCAGAACTAGACCTTGAACCAAGTTCTAGCGTCGTGGACGCAGGTCTTTAGGGTTTGAGCAGAATGGCTGTCTTATATTCTTAAGTCACAAAAGTTGAGCTTCTGACCAGCGGCTAACAACTCAATGTAGACCGAGCTCAAAATACAGGGGTAATTTTGAAAATATTCGCAACACCAATCGCGCTCCGATTTGCCGAGAGTAAGCACAAGAAGTAGGAGTGAGAAATTAAGTATTGATTTAGCAGGTTTACTCCGCGCGTTGTAGACCAGCCTTAACGTTCCGAGGGACGATCTCGCGCGATGTTACAATACTCTTGTTCGCGCAGGCTCTACATGTCCAACGCCTTCTCCTGCTTCTGGGTCGCCGAGGCATTCGAGCCTTACCTGACGATGCGGCGTCCCGAGGAGGCCCGTTACACCATAATGACGGAGAAACAGTTCTCCCAGGTCAACCTGGACGCCTCTTTGCAGGCGAGGAAGATAGTGGGGACCGTCGGCCTGTGCAAGAGCCACCGGCTCGACAGGAGCGCGTGGATCAAGAGGCTGTGCGTGCACGAGCGATATCGGCGTAAAGGTATAGCCGCGTGCCTGCTCAACGAAGCCGTGCAATTCGCGATCGACGCGGGGTACAGCTGCGCCAATATCGTAGCCTCCGAGTACACCGAGGAGGGTAGGGAGTTGTGCTTTAAAAAGGGATTCGAGCTTAAGCAGATGTACCACAAGTCCATCCTGGGGCCGCATCTGACAATATTAATGTACGAGTTAACGTATCGGATCAAGCCCACCGAGGACGATTACGCGCCCAAGATGGACTTCGTGAAGGAGTTTTTGAATCAATTCTAACGATGCATTTCTCGTGGTACGCCAACGCGAGGTGGCGAGACTCTCTTGAGAAACGAATGAGACTGATCGATCGATAACTGTGTTCCCGTTAAACAAAGTGCCTGCACCAAATAATAATTTTTACCCGAATAATACGCTTAATGTCGAATTTTACATTAACGACGGTAGGAAGGGTGTTGTTTTCTACGAAATGTTTGCTGGGTGTTCCAAATGTTGTTATGTATGTTGCAGAGAGAACTATAAACTTATATATAGACCAGCGGAAATAAAAGTATATTTTTCTCATGCGCTCCTCTCGATGGCTTCTCGATACGCGCTGACCTCTTTGCCCTCCCAGTGCTGATTCTTCACCGTCGACAGAAACCTAAAACAATTCCCCGGTTTGACGGAACGACCTGAAGAAGGGGGGGAAAAACGGTACGTTGCAATAGACACTTTTTAAACGTACTTTTCCTGAATTTCGCGCAGCAGCGCCTTTTCCTTCTCCGTAATGCCGTTTCGCATCACATCTAGATTCATCTGCAGCTGCTTCGTGTTCTGTATTCCAACTAAATTGGTATCCACGTCCGCGCACTGCATGGAGTGCCATATTGCCAGCTTGGCGAGCTCCACGTCGCGCTCCTGCATTATTTGTATATATATATTTTTTACGTTACTTTTTTTGAACGGACAGCCAAACGTGAATCTCGTCAATGCACCAGAACAGTGCGCTTGTTTTAATTGACGTCTGTTAACGAACCTTGCAGTATTGCGCGGCGTTCGCGCATTGTTTCTTCGTCTCGTCGGAGGCCGGATGCCAGCTCGGTGGACCGTCGTTCGTCAGAAGACCCATGCACGGCGCGGCGGCATTAATTACACCGATCTTGTGCTCCTGCAAGTTGGAAAATTGACAGAACCGTCCGCGACACAAACGGGACCACGTACCTTGAAGAACGGAACGAATCTCAGCAGATTGTCGCTGATGAGAGTGAGGTTCGCGTAACTCAACACGCAGGCTATATCTATGTTACTCCTCTCGACGCAGTCTTTCAGGAAGGACACCGGGTACCCGGTCACACCTATATACTTGGCTCTGCCCTCGGCCACGCACTTGGATAGTTCCGGCAAAGTTTGCGTGACTATTGTTTGCAGCGAGGGCGCGAATTCGATATCGTGAACCTGCAAGTTTCACCTCGTGCATTCCACCGTTTTACCAGACTCCCCGCTTAATTTTCACCGCGCGAAACCGAATATCAACCTGAATAACATCGACGTAATCCACCCCAAGCAGTTCCAGGCTCTTCCTGAAACTCCTCCGGGTTTTCTCGACGCCGAAGTCGAACATATTGTCGTAATCCAGCTCGTACCTGCCGACCTTCGTCGCGATGTAGTAAGCCTCGCGCGGAATGCCCTTTAACGCCTACCAAAAAATACGCGAGGTAAGAGAGAGAGAAATTGTTGCGCGCGATCCTCTTGAATCACTTTTTCCCGCACCTTGCCGAGCGTCGCCTCGGATCGACCTTGGCCGTACCAGGGTGCCGTGTCGATATAATTGACACCTTGTTTTATCGCTCGGCGTACGGCTTCGATAGCGTCCGCCTCGTCGTACGTGCTGCGGCGACCAACGTAATTATGTAAAAATTACTATTACCGCGTCGTCAAATACGAACGCTCGCGCGAGCGGTAAACAATTTTACCCGTAATGACAGCCGAGCGGACCGGCGCCGAAAGATAATTTGCTCACGAGCAGCCCAGTTTTCCCAAGCTCTTTGTACTCCATTGCCTTCACCGCTTCGGGGTCGTGGAAACCCTCGACGTAGGTAGGCGGAAACATATCTCTGGAAATATCACGATGAATAATGCGATAAAGAAAAATTGCAATTGATACGATTTTCGAGGAGGGGGGGGGGCTCCATTTACGTTGCTGAAGGTACTGAAATTCTCCCCTAAGTCCCTCGCGACCTCTTCTGAATGGATACCCGTGTACTTTCCGCCTGACTTTGCTTGTGTAGGAAAATAATGACGTACGATATGAAGTAGATAAAATTACGACGGAAAAAATATTACTTTAATTCCAGATTTGGTTTCCGCGGTTGAGGCGCCGCGCAAGTTCGGTATTTTATCTCGACATTTCAGTTCACCTCGTCGCGAGACAGTGTCAGATTGTTCCTGCCCGATGAGGAGACCGGAAACGTCGGAATAGAATGAAAAACTCGCGCGGCTCCGAGCCTGGGGTGTTCGCGTACACCGCGGAAGCCCCAAATATCAGATTAAGTTTGTTTTAATTATATAAAGTAAAATAAAACAGTAAAGTGATATGGTGGAGTAAAAAGGTACATTCAACACTACGCAAAGCTTAACAGGTGGAATAATTTAAGGGTATCTTATTCCATTATTTTAATTCCATTATGAAGTCTCATTGTCGGTGAAAATGCAACGTGACGAACGTCGAAAGTAATCACGACGCTTTAGGTACAACGCAAGGTGACAACATTTTACCTGTGTCGGGGAAAAGAGAAATGGAAGTTGAAAAATATAAAAGCATCAAAGAATACGTGCGCAATGAGGATACAAAATGAAATCTAACAACGCCCAGTGCCGGGGAAAAATTACGACAGGCACAATTGTACATCGGCCACGTGTATTTGCACATACACAGATATATATTTCAATTTATCCACTGACAAGCACGACGTTACTTGTTATCTTCTCACTATTTTCGAGGATATTACCGTACGTGTTTACTGGCCGCCAGATATCGCACCGATAATGCAATTTTATTGCGATGACCACGTGTCTCAGGACGATAATGAAACGTAGATCGAACTGCTATCAGTCCTTCTAACCGAAATAAACGGATTTTAATCAAGCGTTATCATGTATGCACTATGTTATCGCCTCCGAACATAGGGAGTGGAGCGAGAGAACAGGCGCGTACGTGCATCTATTCGGGCACTGACTGTTGCCGACGACGTGGACTTGGACGACTTACGTAACATATCGCCTCGCGGTGTGTTGCCATCTTACAATATAAATTAGTTCGACGGCACGTTGGGATTACACGGTACCAGTTACTGATTAAACGGAAATCTGCTGGAGCTCTACTTTATCGATGACAAATTTACATAAAAATTCTCTCTATTCTCCATTTTACCCAATTTAATTTACATAGAAATTAACTGTTATTAACATGCATATACAAAGTGCTGTTTTTCCTTCAACCGAATCTGTATCGCGTTTTTTTTTCATAAATTCAAGTCCCGCTTCAATCAGTTTCGCGTACGACAATAGTAATATTTATAACAATTACAATATGCGATAATATAAGACGATCATATGTGACGTATAATAATATGCGATTGTTATTTTTAAGCTGCGTAAGAAAATTGCGACGCGAACGCGAATGATTTGTCACGGAAGTTTTGGGAAATTCTCAGCTCTCTTTGAAATTTCCCTCGCCGTGCGTATTCTATAGCGGTAGACTCATTGACCCGTGTTCTCAACCCTCTTTCATCGATAAAAATGTCTCTAAAAGTGGCTAATTAGCCTCCTGATGGGCTACAAGCCGCTTTCTAGAGGCGTTTTTATCGATCAAACATAGAATTCCGAATACGGGCCATTATCCAGACATTTTCAGGGATCCCATTTGCCTCGGGATTTACAAATGTTATCCCCTATTCTATTCCAGGTTTCGCTCCTCGTGAATATTTTCCGCTGCCCCTCCTTTCCCCCTCAATGCTCTAAACCTTTTCGCTATATTCGTAAAAGATACAAAATTTCCCGCCTAGAAATAACGAATCGAATCGACGCATCGATATCGATTCGACTAATCATGCCCGGCTGTCTTCACGCCCGCCGCCAACTTCAGGGTTAAAGACTCGCGCGCGCGCTCGTTTCTCGCTTCTTCGCCGCCGTCTCGTTGTCGCGCGAAGACCCCGTAATTTCGACCCGTTTTCTGGGTTATATACCGGATCGTACACCGCCCCGCCCCTCCCGCCGCCGCGATTATGTAATAAGCAGGGGGCCCGGGCGGTCGGGGTCCTCGGTGGCCTCGGGGCCACCGTGGACCCGCCGGCCGAGGTAGAGGCCCGCGCTGGTCAGTGCACTCGTTTCCGCCGCGCGTTCAGCATCGGGAATTCTCCGTCGCGAGGAAACCTCGCCGCTCATCTCTACGACAACGACACCCGGCTTCGTCTATTCTCGTAAGTAAAATTCTCTCTCTCTCTCTCTCGCTCGCTCGCTCGCTCGCGTGTCCAAGTTCGAGCGACGCGGAAGTCTCGATGGAAAATTCATCGCGCGTGGAAAGATCGAATATGGAGGACCGTGCGCGATGACCCGTTTCTTTCTCGTAGCCGCGCCTAACGGATTGACGGAAAGGGAGCACGTCGGAGGCTCCGTGAAAGAATAAAAAGAAAAAAGACCCCGCGGCAGATAACTCTGCGACATACTTTTGACAAATTGATAGACGTATCGATACGCGGTTTCAACGGGTGAATTTTAACTATTTTGGTGACTATTTTAAGACCTGAGATTTCAGAAATTGACCAGTCGACTATTCTCTTCTCGTTCGAGCACGATCGGGTCAATTTCTAACGTCTCGAAATCTCGCGCAGGCGCCGTCGTACTCACACTTGGCGCGCGTCGCGAGCTAGAGTCGCGCCAATTTCTACGTTCCGCGCATGCGCGCGGCCGTAGCGTAGCGACTGAATCTTTCGGTTGCCGGTCCCTCGTCTACAAAGCGCGGGAGCGTCGGCCGAGTCTCCTAATCCCCCCCGATCGCTCGGCGCCCGGCGAAGGAATCAATCTCGGCGGCGAGCAACGACGACAATTATTGAGCACCGTCCGAGAGAAGTAAGTCGACGTTTCTTCTCTCCGATTAAAAAGGGGAAGAGGCGAGCGCCGTTAACCCCCTCGCGGCTCGAGCGCGCGACGCGAGAAACGCGTCCCAATTCGACCCTCGTACGCAACGCGCATCGGAAAATGGCGCGTCCCCCTTCTCGATCCCCGGCTCTGCCCATCCCGGAAACCACCCGGAAAACATTTCGCGCGCAAACGTCTGGCATTTCGACGGATAGAATTTTGCCTGCGTTGTCGAGCAATTTTTGACTCGCGGAAATTTGACGAACTCTTCGGCTGATGGCAGAGAACTATCCGTAAGCGCTTAAGACTGACGTAGTCGTAGACGTAAGGCAAGGCAGAAAGAAACGTAAGTCGTATACAATAGCCTTTCACGACTTCTCTCTGCCTTGCCCTACGTCCTACGACTGAGACAGTCTTAAGCGTTTACGGATTGTTCTCTGCCGTCAGCCTTACACTGAAAAAAATATTTGTAAAATTACATGATTATGCTGGGTTTTTTTCCGACCCAGCATAATCATGCAATATTACTACCCACATGGAAAATTGCAGACTTTTTTCTGTAATTTTGCATGAAAATTCAAGTGTTTTTACACAAAAATAGTAATTTCACCTATATTTCACCTATATTTTACCATTAATATGTATTTTCACTTTAAGAAATCTGGAAAAAAAATTACAGTTATAATTAGGTAATTTTCCGTATTTGAACAAGTAATTTCCATGTAAAAGTACATTAATTTTTTTCAGTGTACGGCCAGTCTCTGATCAGTAATGGCTGATGGCAGAGAGCAATCCGTAAACGCTTAAGACTATCTCAGTCGTAGACGTAGGGCAAGGCAGAGAGAAACGTAAGTCGTATACAATAGCCTTTCACGACTTACGTTTCTCTCTGCCTTGCCCTACGTCTACGACTGAGACAGTCTTAAGCGTTTACGGATTGTCCTCTGCCAACAGCCAATCGTAGACTGGCCGTAAGAGTTCGTCGCTGCGATTCTACGATCGTAGAAGAGCGAGGTGGCCTACGTTGACGAACTCTTATGGCCAGTTTCTGATCGGCAATCAGAGACTGACCGTAAAGCCTCGTCTACATAGAAGTCGTAAAGTCGTAGTCGTAAGAATAGTCGACTATGATCGGTCAATTCTTATGTGTCTGACGAAATTGATCAATCGCAGTCGATTATTCTTACGACTACGACTTTACGACTTCTATGTAGACGAGGCTTAAGGGGTTCGTCACTGCGATTCTACGGTCGTAGAAGAGCGAGGTGGCCTACGTTTCTCGCCTCACTCGCGGGAATTTGACGAACTCTCGTATGATTGATTACAGTCTCTGATTACAGGTTCTCTATCGGGAAGGAATAATCGGCGACAAGCCGGATCTCGCGCGACGTGCTCTGCCTAAAGTGCGCGGTCGTAGATCCCCGCGGCCGGTATCGCCGTTATCTATCGCGCCCGGAAACCGCCGTCCGCCGACGGCGAAACGGCATCGACATCCCCGGCGATTTAGCACCGCGTTGGATCCGGAGGAGAGGAAGCTCGCGTTCCATTTGTTCCGACGCGGGGATCGCGTCCCGCGATCCACCGGGACGGGGACTGAATACGGAATTACGTACGTGGGGCGTCTTCATGCGCTTTAAAGCCGCGACGCCGAAAGTCTCCAATTATACCGGCATCGGCGAAAGGGGGTCAAATATCGGTATACAGCATAAAATTTTCATAACGGCGGCGACGTGCAGTTTTCTGGCCGACGCCGACACAACATTGATTTAATACTTTTTAGTATTGTCAAACGTTAACGTTGCAAAATAAATCAGATCTGCGCTCTTGATGCGCGCCACACAAAAGAAATTACGAGCAGGAAAGAGATCAGTTGGAAATGCGTTATGGACGCTACAATTAATTACTCGCTATCTTCTTGTCACTTTTTGTTTTTTTTTGCAAAATATACTTCGGAATTGCATCGGTAATTTGAGCGATTTAATAATATTGATGTTCAGTTAATACAAAAGTAACAAACCGATGTATTGCCAAAGGTTTTTTTTTATGTACACGTACGTCGGTGTGTACGCAGCTCTTCCGATATTCATACCAATTGGTTTTCGTTTCAATTATATATAGAACGGAAAGAAACGCCGGCGTATAAGCGGATACTTTTTACACCTTTTTCGAACGGGGCGGAGGCGCGATCTTATCTCACGAGAACCGTAAATTCGCATTTATCATCCCGAACATAAATTTGGCTTCAAACGCGCGGCATAAATGTCCCGTCTTGCGACTTTTGCACATAATTCGAGGAGCCCTCGAGCGGCAAAATATTACAAGGCACTTAATTGCGCGCGTTTGCAATCGGTATTTTACATTGACGACGTAACGGCCGCGTCGAACGTACGTGTGCGCGTGCACACACGTTCGTAACTTTTCCACCCGAAAGTCCCGGCTCGCTGCAAAGTCATCGCCGAGGATAAAAAGCGCAAGTCAAGTTCCGCGTGATTAATTTACCGAGTACGAGTTCGCTCTGTATAATTTGTCCTAACTAACATTAAATTTGCTTTAGGTTTCCACGAGTAATTGGCGGGTACCATGCCGACGAGGAGAGGCGAGCAGTGGTACGCGGATTGGATCGTTCCGGCGGATGTGTGTGCGGATCCACCCGGAAGTCTCCATGAGAGTAAAGACGAGGCTCTGCTTCGCTTGGACAACCTACTCCGTCAGCGGGGTACGCCGATTTGTCTACCGTTTAATCTGCGCTTAAATTCTTTCCGCATTCGCTTGGAAGATCCGGCGTCAAATCCGGGTGTTCGACCTCGATCCCTCGCTTGCGTCGCACGCGCCTTCGTTACCTTAATCACTTGGAAAAAGAGCAGATCTTTCACCATTGGATTTAACATTGCACACGTCGTCTTAGCTCGACATTTCATTAAGTTCTTTACGAAGTGCTAAATTTATAAGATCTCACATTGGACGTAGCCTTCCGTCATTTTTGCCTCTCCGAAAATTGTCAGAGATTTACCATGTGTTATATATTTTCTTGGCTATAGAGGAAAGTCCTCTACGATGAGACAAGATTCTAACATGAGGTAGTAGGTTTTCAGCGTCCAAATTCAGTGACAAGTCCTTTTCGCAATGATTACACGATCTAGCAATTAGTTCTC